TATATATATATACGTATATATATATATATATATATATATATTGTATCAATTTTTTTAATTAAATGCCTTTTTCAAGTGAAAAAATGATCCCTAATAAAAAAAAAAAAATTAGTTTACTCTATAGATAAGTGCCAAGGAAAATTTTGCAAAAAATATCCTTGTATATATATATATATATATATATATAAGAAGATATATGTATTATAAAAAAAAAAAATACCTATACGCAATATTTTATTTATATATGTGTCCAGGGTATAAACCAAGGTCATTAGAATCGATGGCCGGTATAGTAGAGAGCTTTTTCCAATTTCCATATTTAAGAAATATTGAATCTTGGTGACCGAGCGATCCTCTTCGGTTAATCATAAAATGCATACACTTCTTCATATTTCCCAATTGTTATAAAAAAAAAAAAAAAATAAAAAAAAAATAAAAAAAGCCAAAAAAGATGCTATAAGATAGTATAACGGAGTCAAAAAAAAAACAAAACACGTTTGAATAGATCATCAACGTTTTTAAGCTTCAACTTGAAGCTGACTCTTGCTTTGGAACTATTCCTGGACTCTATTCTTGTATTTTATAGAACAATTAGACAAGCAAATAGACGGACGGACGGACGGACGGACGGAGGGACGGACGCGTCCATTCATACTATATCTCTTGCATTGCAAGTGTTTGATGAGTTTAAAATAAATTCAAATAAATTTTTCAAAATATATCGTCTATGCCTGTGCCTATGCATAGACAGAGTTCATATGTTACTGAAGAATATATTTTTCAGTTTAACAACAGTGTTACATCAAACATTAATAAATAATTATTCGCTGATGTATTATTTATTATTCAGATTCAAATGATTTAAATCTGAATTATGGCTAATGGCTTCCAAGCTGTAATCAATCGAAACGTTGCGAAATTTCTTCTTTATAAGAAAAATAATTGCAAAATTTATCTCGACGGGGACGAAACTTCTTTTCTCAATTTGAGCTTTTAAAAGCAAACCTGTTGTGCTGCATAGAAATCCCCAAATGCAAATCCTCCGTTGACTACTGCTCTGGTGTATATATATACCTATGCCAATATATATATATATATATATATATATATATATATATATATAACAGAATGGATGTAAAAATGTTCTCGCAGACAAGAAATATGGCCAATATCTGATTGGGAACAGTGATCCCAAAACAATGCTATGCACATACATCTTATACATCTTAAGATGTGAACACGTAGCTAATGTTCGTTAAAAGCTTGGGAATCACCATTTCATACTCACGGAGAACAAGTACAATGATTGAACACACTTGATATATATATATATATATATTATGTGTATATGTACACATTCAAGTATATGTTTATGTATTTGACAAATAGCGAAAAAAAATGCATATTATTCTCTTGAGAATCAAACCCACACATACACTAATAAGGTTATATACATATATATATATATATATATATACATAGATGCATATATACGTATAAAAAAAAAAAAACAAAAATTTAACCCAAGCATTACACGTAAGATACTATAAAGCAGCGATAAGCTCTACTGCCAATACGCTGCTTTGTCGGAAGAGAATGCGGGCTGAGTACAAAAAAAAAAAAAAGGAAAAAAAGCTGTTTTGTTGAGTAATCATGGCAACGACTGTGTGCAGTCATTTGATGGTTAAATTACGTATGGCCGTTGATTTTTGATTTTTAAGGAAACGACAAACCTTTTTGGCCCTCGTAATATTGCTTTGCTAAAAACTAAATAAATAAATAAATAAATAAATAAATAAGAAATATTAGAAAAACAATAAAAAAAAGAAAAAAACAAAAAACAAAAAGAAGACAAACGATGAGGAATCTGCACAAAAGGCATCCACAAATTTTGTTTATACGAACATATTTACATGCAGAGACTTTCAGTAATGGAGAAAACACATTTGCGCTTTATAAAAAAGTCAAACGATTATCAGCTATATTCATTTGTTCACACTTCATATATGCATAAACATTCATACATATATTATTATGCTCTCTTACAAATACACAAACAAAACATCATCCATTCATTCGCATTACAGCCGATATTCGGATAGTCGTCTCCTTAAATAAATGCATACACATTTATATTAGTATTGTATGTGTACGTACCTACGTAAATTAGTTTACTAGTATGTGTAATGAATATATATATATATATATATATATATATATATATATATATATATATATAAATGTGTACAGTAAGGCCCCTTGTTATCTATAGTTTAGTATTCTTTCGCGATTTCAAAATTATTATAGTTTTGTTTTTGCGTTACTCATTTTTCATTGGTCATCTCGGAACGCGACTTAACCGATTGAATATATAGCCGAACAATATGCATTCACTTAATGAACGAATCGTTCACGATTAGTGAATGTCATACTGAAAATCTTTGAACTAATAAACGTTGTAAGTACATAATAATGATGTGATATATGGAAAT